TTTTTCTAAACCTTGGGATAGTGCAGAATGGAAAATTGAACAGCTAAATATGAAGGGAAACGTTCGTCAGTTTGTTGTTTCCTCACTTGGAAGCCACCTTTCTCCTGGGTAGTGATATAAATAAAACAATTAAGCTTACTCTTTGTCTTTGAAGAATTCTTCTACCATCTTCGCATCTTCTTCTGTTGTAAAACTTGAAAATGATAACTGAAATAATCGTCCAATTGAAAAATTTCCTTTGAATCTTTTCATCAAATCATCGTAATCTGATTTAACAAATTCCCAGATCTTTCTTCGTGTGACTTTATTTCCGCTCAATCCTGCAAAGAAGTACATACTAGAGAGCCAAAAGAGTGGATCAGTGGGGTTCTTACACACTGAGACGTATAAAGAAGGAACACAATTTTCAAGTACATCCGCTACACTTACAAGTCTTGTTCCTTCACTTCTCCGCTTAAGATCAAATCACTGTTTTTCAAAGTGAAGCAAATCGAGTGAATATACCAATCCCCTCTTATCACACCAAATCAAAAGCCCAGAGTTTCCCAACACTTACAAAGTCTTTTGGTAGAGTTTCTCTTCAGTAGTTGCACAAAGTGCATACATCGCTGCAAGCTTTTCCGACGGGTTAGATGGTTTTCTGTAAATTGCTAACACACTTTCATACTCTTTTTCCCCTCCATACTTAACACCAAAGGTGAAGATCATATGTCTTAAATCTGCTGGTATAGCTGAAGCTTTCTTGGACTCGGTATATTGCATGAATCGTTCTTTGATCTCTGCTAAAACCCTACAAATCAAATCCATGATTCACATCAGTGCCTGAGAGGCATACGCATGGAATGAGCAAAACAGACTTTGGATCCTTGGCGGCTGCCGCGGCTTGTAAGATCTTCACTCGAAGTTGAATCCGATCTTCAGTCTCTTCCGGACCGCTTCCTTCAAATCCAATATCCTTTGCTAAAGCCTCTACCAGCTGGAGCCTGAAACGATCAAAGCTATCTACCACTTTTTCATCCTGTTCCCATAGTATGCCTGCAACTGCACTTGTACCTGTCAGAATTTCAGACCAAACCAAGTAGTTCCTCTCACTTCCAAGAGGTTTCAAGAAATCGAGAACAGTCGAGGTGGTAGAGTACCCAGCTTGGGCTAGTTCAATTGCGTCCTGAATTAGACCCATTCTATCGGCAACGGTGAACACCGAGTCAACCTTGGCGATCTCGGCGCCGAGGCTTTTCAAGCGGTCGGCGGGGTAGCGTACTCGGTCTGGAGCCCAACAAGTCGTTTATCAGCCCACGTGATCCTTGCTGAAACCCAAGCAAGCGCCGAAGTGAATTATGAAGCTTACAGACGCCGCACGTGTCCGCGTTAAGCTTGTAAACGATATCCTTAACTTTCGGTAGGGTAACGGAGACTTCCCTTTGAGACTCCATGATATCATGTTGAATCTGAACGGATCCATCTTTACCAACGGTCTTAATTTCCAACGGGACATACCACAGAGTTTCATCTTCTTCGGGCTATGTAGAGTGATGCTCAAAGTTAGATACCTGACTTTCCCAGTCAAACTCAGACTCACTTTAGGATCTCCAGTCGACAAGAATCGATTTTGAGTGATCTTTAATCCATCAGCATTCTCTTCGACGGTCAAGATCGGGAATCCGATCTTTCCTGTCCAGTTGCTCATTATTTTCTCAATATCCTTTCCAGTCGCCTTTGCGATACCAGCCCACAAGTCTTTAGTCGTCCCATTTCCATAAAGATGTGCTTTGAGATACAACGAACTAAAAAGAAAAGAATTAGTATTGTATACTCATATGATGAACAAAGATGAGAAAACACCTACACCCCTTTCAAGAACTTCTCTTTTCCAACAAAGTTGGCTAACATCTTTAAAATCGAAGCTCCTTTTGAATATCTGGGTCAGGGGAGAAGCGATATGGAGCAAAGAATAGTCTGGAGGTCAACAAAAGGAAGTCATGTCGGACTTGGATTAAATTAGATAAGACAGAAATGCCTACGAGATCGCATCAAAGATTTGATTGATCATCTCAGGATCAGGGCAGGGAACCTCGACGGCGTGAGATGACCTCTTAGAATCAAGAGAAAGCGCTCGCGAAAGGTGAGCATTGATGAAATCATCGGACGCATACCAACTTGGCTCGATCTCCTCGATCACCACTAGTTCCCTGTGTCGTGCATCAACACCATTTTAGCAAGTTGTGAATAAAAGAGCTCAAAGAGAAGAGCAGCACGTACCCCATCAAGGTGGCAAAGGCTTCATTGAGCCAAAGTTCCTGCCACCAACTCATGGTGACTATATTTCCAAACCATTGATGTGCTACTTCATGACTTTGAGTAGTTACCACTCTTTTTCGGGCCCCAATACCTGATGCCTCGTCACACAAGCCCACGGATGTCTATCAGAGCAAAACATAGCCATCAAGACCTAGCTGTTGGGATTTTAAAAATGACCAAGTAGAGAATACCAAACTGACCCTACAAGTGATTAATCCCCACTAGTACATGTGCACTCGATTTGAATCAGTCTCCATTATCATAGAGATCTATATCCGACAGATATCATAGAAGTATATGGGTACCAGCTTACATTTTCCATGGCACCTGCATCGAAATCAGAGGCTACCAAAGTATCAAGCTATAAAAGAGAACAATCCGCCAATTACTTGTTGTGCGCATCTCTTGTTAGAGGACTAGATGAATGTACCTTAGAAAGAGGATAAGGGATATCGAAGATCTGAATAGTAAGGACAGCGGTAAGCATTTCGAGAAAAATCAGTCAAGAAGCGTGAGGGCTCAACTAACTTTTTCATATACTGGAAGAATTCGAGCGGTGGTGTCGAGTAACAGTTGGGTTTGATGGACATGTTCACCTGTGGCAAACACCCTAAGCGGGACCTTTCGGTTAGTCAAGGGACTGATGTAATGTCCCTCCTTGGAGTGGAAAGGACCTTGAATGAACAAGAGGCCAGACAAGGGTCAGTTAAATCTCTACAAGTCTCTTCAATGATTCAAAGGTATCAGCTGTTTACCATTTGCCCATGCGACCAAATAGGTTGAAACTTTAGGCGTGGGTTCAAATTGGGTCAAGACCCAAGCTTTGTCTTCGCTGGCAGCTGTGTCCAATCCCTCAAGGTTAGTGATCAGATTTGAGGCTCTGAAAATTCCATCAGATGGCTCAGAAGAGGTGGGGGAGGTGTTGGCCAATGCAACGGTGTTAGCTCGAGTGATAAGCGAAACTTGGAAAGTAGCCTCTGGTAATCAGATTGGTTTGGAAGATAATTATGTCAGCATGGTATATGCGCCTGTGATCGAACCTCAGTGTAAAGATCTACTCACTGATTGCAGGCTCATCCCAGCAAGGGAATGCACGACGAGCAGCAGTAGGTTCAAATTGGGTCAAGCCATAAACCCCTTTCTTTCCTTCAAATGCATATGATGCTTTATAGTAACCCATCATGTTACCTTCCAATTCAGCTTTGAAGACCATTCCAAGTGTAGCCTTGGTATTGGCCGGTAAGGGTTTAGATAAAACCACTGTACAACGTTCAAACTTGTGATCGAAACTGATCGACTTGGCTGGCTCAGGAGTGTTACCCAAGCTTTCAGATTCGATGACCACATTGAGAACGGAAAGAGATTGAGCAGCATGAAAGGTAATAGTATCTGTTTCGGATTTGATCAAGACATTAATTTGAGCAGTTCCTTGAAAAGTAGGAGGATTTGAATCAAGATCGGTTTTGATAGTTAATGCATAGTGAAGTGGTATGACATCATCCGACAACCGATACTTTGAGTCATCAGAAGTTGAATGTTTTGCCATTTTTGGACTTCGAATGAAGAACTTGTTGATAAAGTAAGTTAAGATGAGAACTATCAAACTGATTAAGAAAGTAGATTTAAAGCTATTTTGTTGAACTTTCTTGACTTGTTTTGATTTGATTTGTTGAGCTTTAGAATTCCCGAATGACATCCGAAGTTCGATCTGAATCTATGAAATTGAAAATTAGATTATCGACTTACACCATTTCACTGGACAGGTCAAGACTCAAAGATTTGTACACATTTCACAGGTTCCTTCAAATTTTCAACATCTCCATTCAAAATATAGCAAATCCGTTCATCCCCAACCTGAAAAGAACAGGGCCTCTGCGACACTTATTGGTTTTTCCCAAAAGCATCATCCAAGGGATGCGCACTTCAGATCCAATCGTGAAGCAAATGGACCCATCTCTGAGGTAATTGCTTTGGAACTGGTACTGCGTATTGAGTCTTGACACAGGGAATTTGGAGCAGGCTTTAGGGAGAATGAGGGGTCGACATCTGAGTGAGAGCAAATGTTCTATTCTTAACGATGAAATATTGAAATCACAGTTTTCATAAAGTTATCTTTCGATTTCTTTGTTTCTTCTTTCCCTCTCAATCTTCACTCATCAAGAATATAAATCTGAAAAACACTTCATCCAGCGTTATCATGAATCAAAAATCACAGTTACTTTTCATTTTACAACTATTGAATTTTCGAAAAAATTGACCTACATCAAAATTTCTCATTTAGATATAGGTCATTTAGATATTATAGTGCTTCTCTTGCCTCATCTTTGGAAAGAGAACGTTACACTACCATTGCATTCTTTGTCATATTCCACTGACATCTCAAAGTATATCTCATTAAAGGTGATCATTAGGCTTACTGACCCCAGTAAACACTGGTAAAGTCTTGACCAACACAAGTAGCTTACTCCAACAGATAATACTTGCATCATTGTACAAGGGTGGTCCTGGTTTTAGGGTGATCATTTTACTTTTGCGATCTGCAAAGCGGGTCTCAGGCTTTCATACGTTATTAATGCTCAAAAAACTACCATCAAAACTACAAGATGCCAAATTCTGGGCAGCTTTGTGTCCCGCAAACAACCCAGCCAAGCCACCTTCGAATGTCATTTGTGGAATTATGTGCATTTGAGCCAAAAAAGACTCGCCCAATGGGGGGCTCGAACCCCCGACAATTCGATGGCATCCACAGGAGATGAAACTTGGTAAAAGTCGAATGCTCTACCGACTGAGCTAACCGGGCTGTGCGAGGCGGATTCCATGGTAGAATAGGTGGGTCTCAGCTAGTATATATGGAAATAACCAGGAACACCTGTGGGTCCAAATGGCATGAAAAGAGGTTCAAAATAGAAACTAATTTATGTTCATCTCCTTTGTTCACCCTTAAATTGTTGTAGCCATTGAGTAGATCAAGACTGGTATAATTCCTGTGTCTTGTAGGATATCCACTAACTGCATTGTGAGAGGTGGTGGGTACTCATGATTTATGGTCAAGGCTTTCAAATTAAGGTCATCACAACAGGTATGGATGTTTCCATCCTTCTTCCCTGTGGAGAGGACCAGTGCGGCCCAAGGTGAGGAAGTTCTTCTCAGTGTTCATCTTGGAAGACCTTCATCAATCATTGAATTCAGTGCGGTTTTTTTGGCAGGTGACAGTAAAATGATCTTGCGAGCCTGGTGTGTACCTCCAGGGAGAAGTTCAACACAGAAGTCATATCATCGGTGCAGAGGTAACATCATAAAGCTTGACTTTCTGAACATATTTATAAACCAATGGTAACGTGTTGGTATCAATTCTTGTGCTGATTTTGGAGGTTTGTTCTTGGCAAAGTCAGTGGCAATCTTTGCTGATAGGTTGCAAGATGCGCTTGCAGTGCATAAGTATGCAGGTGTCCTATCAACAGAAGGTAATAGCTTGTCAACAGATTCATGTGCCAAGTTGTGAGCATTGCTGTACTCACATTGTGGGGGCTTGATTCCTTTTTCAAAGAGAGCCCCCTTGCCAAAATTCCTTGTGTTCCCCAATTGGGCCCAAGGCTTGTTAGGGTGGATTGTGGATTGGGCTACACCAACTCTGTGGTGACAATGCTGCTTTTCTGTTAGGATAAATTTAATTTGGTCAAGAATTTCACCGTTAACTGGTATGATTGGGGTCAAGGGTGGAAGTGGAAGTTAGATTGAGAATCTAGATGAAGCTGAAGAAAGTATGCAAGTACATTAGCTTGCCTGAATTTAGAGACATTGATGTATGTCAGATGGAAGATTATGCAAGGGGGTTTGGTTAGAAAACCAGCTTTCATTTTGTCTAGCTGTGCTTGATGTTTCTTTGAGATATCTCGCTCTTTTGCTCCCTTTGGAATCTTTCCTCACCATCTGAGGAAATTATTTTGAACTTCAATATATGAATCACTAACTATTTACACTTTGACTTCAATCAACTACTATTTTATTTCTCTTATACATTTAATTTCATTCTCAGTTTTCCTCTTTTCAAACCTTAGGTTTGCTTTATATTTTAGTCTCATTGAGTCTTCTCAACTCACTGTTGTGAGACTTATTGTTTAATTGTTTTGTTAAAGTCGTCGAGAATTTCTCGGACTGAGTCTTTTATTTTCTTGGTGTTTTTGAGTGTCATTGGTTCATCTGTTGTGATATATAGTTTCTGTGGTAGGAAGGGAACCTCCTTGCTAATTGTTTCAGAGACTGACAGTTATAAAAAGTTCCTAGACTCCCATCATGGGGGCTTGGTGTTAGTCTTGCTAATAGCCCCCTTGGAAATCTCCCTAGTGTTCCCCAATTGGGTCTCAAGGCATTCTGGGGATGTTGGTAAGTTAGACAAAATCATATCAATGGCCAAAATGTGGGTTAGTGAGTCCTTTGGCTGTAATGTGCCGGTCTTCCAATCAATATTGTGGCCGTTCTTGCATAGCCAAGGCAGACCAAGGATGGCATTGCAAGGATCCTTGATTGAAGTTACTAAATTTTTTTCTTGCATTTTTTTGTCATTGATAAACAGGTTTGCATCATGGACAAAGACATGTGGGGCTTCATCAAAGCCATACACGTTGCCCACAGGTTGGTGGATTTGACATTGGCAAGCCAGCACAATCTACAAGTTTTTTACCCAGTATGTCATGGGTGGAGCCGCAATCAATCAGAGCATGAGCTAGGCCACTCTTAAAATTGAGGGATGTGGTGCAGGGAGTCTCAGAGAGGGAAAGAGGGGTCAACACATGGGGATAATTTTTGTTCATTGAATTGAGATGAAACAAATCTGGTTCCTTTGCTCATTTCTCCTCACTCTGGCCCGGGGTGGCACATCTGTCACTCCTAAGCTGCACCATTTTTTCATAAATATGCCACTGGTGATAATGTGCCTGACTGATTTCCTAACCCCACCTGCAATTCTGTGATATTAGCCTCCTTGAAACTCTGTCATTTTCCCTTTCACACCAATTTTTCCTCTATCACCATCTCTACTCCTTGCATTACACCAACAAGCTATGTGATGTGAATTTCCACACTTGAAGCATAACCAACTTTTTGTCCTCAAATTGTACTTGTCCAGTGAGAAGTTGAACCAAGCTGATGATATATCCATGGCATCCAGATTGGCTTGTTGTGCAATAGTAGCTGGGTCCACCATTCCTCCCCTCAGGTCAATATCAATCATGCACGTAAGCTTAGTTATGCTCTCAAGGTAGCCAAAGTGGTGTCTAACCATGAGCATCTGAACCGTCCTCTTCAACCCTTGAAAATAGTGGCTAATGAGAGTCAGTAGCTCTGATTTAGTGTTAGGTGTGAGCTGGTTGAACCACATGGTATATTTGGCCGCTGATTTGGTTTACTTCAGGGCTCGAAGAGCAGCTTCAGCTTGTTTCTGTTGGTCTGAATCTAAGAAGACAGATTCAAAGGCCTGCATGAATTCACCGTAAGTAACCGGCGTCTTGGCCGGTTCCCTGATCTGTTGCAGGAAAGGCTGAGCCCACTTGATAGCTTTTCCTGTCAGCTAGGAGGTTACAAACATGACCTTGGCATTGTTGGGCAAACAAGGCTTTATTCATGGCAATACAGATTCCAAGCTGACTCACATAGGCCTCCGCCAGTGCTCCTCAAGCATCCTTGTACATATCAGGGGTTGCAGCTTCAATTGCACCCATGAAAGAAGTAGTGGCAGGGGTGGTTGCAGTGGGGCAGTTGATATGACTGGGTTGTGTGGGAGGTGCTGGTGGTGGTGTGGTTTCAGTTACTTTGGATTGAGAGGCTCCAATTTGAGCAACTCAAGATCCAGACGGGGTCCATTGGTCTGTCTGTTTGGCCAATTGACTAGCCAATTTGGTCCATCAGGACATCTCTTGGTCAAGTCAATTATTGCTTCTGGCTAGTTGTTGGGCAAGACAGTTGAAGTCTTTGGCGGTGACCATGTCCATAGGAGTCAGGTTGTCTGTCTCTACTTTGTGCCAGGACGTGCCTTTGATTGACTCCGTCTTGTCAGTTGGTGATTCAAAGGACAGTGTGATGAATGTGGGTGTCTGGTTGGTCTTTTGCTAATGTATCTTCTTCTGTTCTTTAAAAACTTCTGCCTTCAATATCTTTTTCTTTTTATTTCTTTCAAAATCTTGACTTCTTTCTTCTTTTTTCTTCCTATCTTGTTTTGTTCATTCTGTCTCAGATAGATGCTACCATGTGTTATGGCATGCTTCACGGGGCATTGGCACTGGGGACAGAGAGAGGGAGATGGGTGAGAACTACAATGTATGATTATTGTAGCATGAGGGAAAAGTGTAATACATGTGGAGCACTATATAGTAAGAGGTTAAGGTTCCCATATCTCACAACTTGTGATACCTTTGTGATCTGTGATAGGATCATAACAGTTGACATTTATGGGAAACAAAGTAGAATCCAGGCATGTGCCCCGGCTTGTGCCCAGATCTTTTTTGTCTCTAAATTTGGCTTTTCTGGGCAAACTTCCACTCACAGGATGTTATGGTCACATGACTGACACAAGCTGTGGCACAGCCATTCTCTCATGCTGTTGCGAACAAAACTTTGTTCCATTCTTGTCTCTGAGATCCCACAACACTGTGGAACTTCATATATTTATTTCTTAGCATACTTATGCATTTTTCAAATATTTCTTGGCCACTATACAGGATTCAAATTTACAGCCAAAAAAAATCTCGGCACCTTTGTATCCCACAAACAACCCTGCAAAGCTGCTTGTGGACGTTGTTTGTGAAATTGCCTTGCGCTCGAGCCAAAAGCAACGCACCCAATGGGGGGCTCGAACCCCCGACAATTCGATGGCATCCTGAGCAGGTGGAACTTGGTAAAAGTCGAATGCTCTACCGACTGAGCTAACCGGGCTGTAAGGCCTAGGTTTCTTCATGGAATTCATTTGAAGAACGAAGGGCATTTGATAACTATTGGAGTTGATGAAGCTATTGAGGGTGTTCAAATTGAATGATTTGATTATGATCATGACATTCCCCTTTATCTGAAGTTTTCCGGATTGATGGAAATGAATGAAGATGTGTTGATGTCAGTGATCACACAAAAAATGTAATCCACCAGATAAAGACAATTCTTCAGGCGACCGGAGTTAAGTTTGAGTAGCATATTTCTAATCCAAAATCCATTTCATAGATAACTCTCAGTAGATCACTGAGATCTGGATGTTCAATGGGAATGATTGACACTTCAAACTTGAAAATTCAAAATAAATTAGTTGAAAAAAAACCTTAACTCTATGAATGATTCTAAGATCATTTTTCTCTGTGTTCCTATCTATCACTTCTTGATATGCTTATGCTCTTCCACCTCGTTTTTCCAAGTGAGAGTCATTCATAAAAATCTCTTCAATGTGTGTATAAGTATATTTGCATCTTACAAAACCAGAACACATGGATTTCTAATGGAGTGAGATAAAAAAATTGTACTTCAATATTTGAATCCAAGACTATATTTGAAGTTCAAAATACAGTACAACTGACCAAGACCGGGTGAGAGCTTCTTCTTGTGAGATTTAAAAATGGAAGTGAATCTCCTAAAGCAAGACAACTTAACTTTAAGGACCACTTTAAATGAATCGACTTCTACTTTTGAAAGGCAGACAATAAAAATGAGTCAACCCATATATTGACAAGAATGAGAAACATTATGGGAGATACTTCATGAGAAACTACCAATCAGAAAAACAATTCAAGTCATATAAATGATGAGAAAAAGAATCAAGATGGG